GGAGAGAGAGAGAGAGAGAGAGAGAGAGAGAGAGAGAGAGAGAGAGAGAACAGATGTAAGCATGACCTTCTCACGTGTGCCTGCTCAGCAGTGGATGAGCTGTGTGTGAGGTACACAGGGCTATGGGCATGAGGGCCTGATGTGTGCTGAGGGATTCACAGCTGCCTGTATGGATGGGTGTGTGTGCACAGGGGTGCAGGAGCTGGTGGGCACATACAGGTGGCCACGCAGCTGTCTGAATGGATCTGTGTGTAGGCATGTGCACCCAGCTGCAGGGAAGGGTGTAAGTCGGGTGTGTGTGAGTTCAGGCACATGTGTGTTACATATACACGGGTGCAGGTGTTAGCAGGACTGCATGGCTCCCCTGGTGTCATGTGAGGCAGCCCGGGCTGTTCTGGCGAGCCAGTGATGGCTCCTTTGCCTTAGCCAGGATTCTCAGGATTGACAGCTGTGAGGTGTTGCTGTGAGCCATCTAAAGTGGCCGTTCTCTTTTGTGTAGGGCACTGCTCACCAGCCTTGGGCAGGATGTGGCTGTGGATCAGCTGGGATAGAGGAGGTTCCTGATCTGTACAGCACCCGCAGTCCCCCTGGGTCAGCCTGAGTGGACGCCCAAAGTGGGCGGAGCTTCTCCGCTCCCCAGGCCCTCTCAGAACCCTGGCACAGAGACATCGGACTGTGGTCCACACATCCAAACCCTGCTCTATGCTTTGTCCCCCATCAAATCCCTTCCTCCACTGGGGGCCTGTGGCTGTGGCTGGCAGAATTTCAGGCATAGCTCCATGACGAAGCTGCAGTGCTAGCAGAGCTGGTCTGCCTGAGAACAGGACGGTGGCATGGCTGGCCCTGGGGCTGGGAGACGGTTAGGTGGTGAGGTCCCATGGCAGGCTGCCCCTTGGTCTGATGCCTTTAAGACCACGCTGAGGTCTGGCTCCCTCCTACGTTCCTTGCCCCGACTCAGGTGCCACCTGAGCTCTAGAGGGCCATGGTTTCTCTAGAAGGGACCACCAGCCACCTGCCCTGGGAGCCATGTATGCCCCCACACAGGGGACTCCCGAAAAGGTGCTGGAGCCAGAGACCAGCTCCAGAGTTGGAGGGGAAGTCTGAGTCCTGGGGCAAGGAGAGGATCTAGGGGGGCAGCCGTTCTTCTACCTGGAGGTGGCTAGGACCCCAGGGAGCTAGAGAGCAGATCTTCAGCAGCTTTAACTCTAGTCTGAGCTGCTCTTGAACCCTTTGTGTCTTCAGAAAGACTCCTGGGCTGAAAAGGGAAATAACCCAGAAACAGTGACTGGGTTCAGCACTGGACGCCATTTATAGACTGGGGCAAAGGCACACACAGGGTTCCTGTGCACATATTACATACAGTCCAAAATGCTGCTCACTCTGCCTGTGTCAATGAACAGTGGGGGCCATACGCCCAAAGAGGCTTGCCCAGCATCTCACTATGGGCCAGGGTAGATGGCACCTTCTCTCTCAGGACCTCTGTGACTTCAGAAAGAAGTGTAGGCTTGTGCCCTACACTGCTGGGCCAGCGGTGAGGTGTGCAAGATGCCACTGGGAGTCCTGGCAGTCTTCTTGGAAGAACGGAGCATCAGCTGCACTCTAGCGCAGGAACCCAGGCTCGGGGTCATTTCCAGTCTCCTCCACGACAGCATCTGGGGCCCCAGCTGAGCTGAGAGGGGCAGCCAGGGCCGGGATCACCTGTCAGAAAGGAGGAGGTGGGAGGGAACCTGGGCGGGGCTGTGGCAGTTGCTGGGCTCTGTTTGGAGGGCTTCCGCCACTGAAGAATGGATTATCCGACACCCAGATTAATGGGCTTTTATTTTACTAAACATCTGTCACCGTTAGTGCTGGTGAGCGAGCGTGAAATGAGCTTTGACAGCCTTGCTGCCACGGCCGTCTTCCGCTGGGTGTCGTGGGTCCCCTGCCGGGGCCTGTTCCACATGGGTGGCACATGGTGGAGAGTCACCGGCTGAGGGGCTGCTGGGAGCCATGCCAAGGCACCAGTGGGTGCTCATGTCACCCACAGCAGCCCTGTGCAGGGACCGCTCCCACGGAGGTCAGCCCTGGTCCCCAAGAGCGTGCTGGAGACATTTCTCCCAGTTGGATGGGGGGGGGTTCCATGGGCTTCTGCCACTCTACACACAGACGGTGCTTCCCATACCCTGACCACTGTTAACCCTGCCCTCACCACAGCCCTGTGAGGTAGGTACTACAGTTTTCAGGTCTGTGTTGTACATAAGGAAACTGAGGCACAAGGACTGACCTGTCCAAGTTCACAAGCTAGGATGTGAGTCCCAGGAATTCTGAAGTCCCAGCTCCATACGATGGCGTCCTCCTGCTCAAAGCCGTCAGGCCTATCCCAGCTGTCTCTTCCTAAGAGGGTGCCGGGCAGGCCAGGGCCCTCTAGGATGACAGGTAGCTGAGCAGAGTGGGGTGGATGGAGCTGGAGCAGGGCAGGGCAGGGCTGGGCCAGGTGGGTGGAGTCGTGGCAGAGTGGTGCGGACTGCATGGCATGAGGTGAGGCTGCTCTGACCCCCACCTGTGGCCACCCACAGCTGTACATCCAGACAACCACACTGACGGTCTCCGTGAGTCTGAGCGCCTCTGTGTCCCTGGGAATGCTCTACATGCCCAAAGTCTACATCATCCTCTTCCACCCGGAGCAGAACGTGCCCAAGCGCAAGCGCAGCCTGAAAGCCGTGGTCACCGCAGCTACCATGTCCAACAAGTTCACACAGAAGGGCAACTTCAGGCCCAATGGGGAAGCCAAGTCAGAGCTGTGTGAGAACCTGGAGGCCCCAGGTGAGTGTGTAGCCTCGTCCCTGTCTCCCAGGCCCTGCCCCACCCCTTTCCCGCACAGGCGCCTGCAGGCCTCATAACTGCCTGCTCTCTGGTAACCAGTGGGAGACAGTAGGTTGCAGGCGAGCACAGTTGTCCCGTCCAGCCCTTCCTGGTGGCTTCAGAGAACTTCCGAGGCTCCCTGTGGGGGGGGCCACATCCTTCTGTGCCAGCTGACCTGGTTCCTGCAGGGTGCTGAGACCCCACCACATCTCTGTTCTGGCAGCATCTCTCAGTCCCTCTGGGGGCAGGGCTGCCACAGAGGCCCAGTTCCTGGAGTAACCCAGGAGGGGTCTTTGGCTTTGTCCCTAATGGGGTCTGAAAGATGTGCACTGAGGACATGGCCATCCTGTGATAGGTGGGTAAGGATGGAGTGGGTGGGACTTGACTGATGTCCCCATGGATCAGCATCTCCCCAGGGGCTTGTCAGAGATCTCAGAAAGAGGGTCCTGAGCTGGAGGCAGCATACAGAGCCAGGTAGTGGCAGCAGGGACCAGCTCGACCTGGACTTGACCCCCAGAGGAAGTGAGACCGACCTCAACATGGTGTCTTTCCCTGAGCTATGGCTCCCCTGTCTCTGGGGTCCCCATCCTCTATGTGGGGCAATACGCCTGACTTCGGATGTGTCCCCCAGCTTGTGTTAACAGCCCCCCCCCCACCTTACTTCCCTATTCTTGCTCCTCCTCCTAAAAAACCATGTAACCCCTGCCCTCTGATCCCGGCTCTTCCTTCAGGTACTGCCTGGAGATGGGAAGGGCAGGGTGTCCCCTCTGGCTTTCATCTTCTCCTGACTGTCAAGGGTCCTCAGAGCAGCTGCATCTCTTTCTGGCCTGAGCACGGGGACCCCTTGCTCCTTCCTGTGGACATTTGCCCATTCCAGCCCGATTCCTTCAAGGCCCTGCACACCAGTGCAGAAGCAGCTTTGCACACAGCTCCACACGCGAATGGACAGACACTCACATGCACACAAACGCATGCATTCACACACATGCACTGCCATCTCCCCAGAGCAGGATGTATCAATGCTATAACTTGGGAGGACGACACTATTGCACTTATCAATCAGAGGGGCCACAGGATCGAGGGCCTTCACAGGGTTCTGAGGGCCCCACTGACATTGTCCCTCTGCCCTGCTCAGGCCGATCACAAGGTCATAAGAGGAAGTACGGCAGGGAGGGGAGGCCAAGCGCCCACCCTGCTCCTGCGAGGTAGGGCCCAGAGCCCTCTGCAGCCAGGGCCGAGGTGGCAGCTCCTTGTGTCCCCTGTCTCTCAGTGACAGGGCTGCTCAGTGATCAGTTCTAGGGACAGCCCAGATGAGGGGGTGGGAGGGAGGAGTGGGGGGGTCACTTCCATGCAGCAGGGACATATTTCACCCTGTCAGGTCAGGCCACATATCTTTAAACAAACAACAGAATAAATAATTTAGAACCCTGATTGCAGGCGGATTGGTGCCGAGTCACAGGGCGACAAGTGGTGGCCGCGAGCCTCGTGCCTCAAGCTGTCTTGCAAACTGCTCTATGATTGGCTGGTGATGGAGAACCCTTGGGAGGGCTCTGCCACACCTTCGTGCCTCCACTCACAAAGAGGGCACTTCTGCAGCGCCAGGCACCCACCCCGGCCCCGCTGGCACAGCACCTTTCTGTCCAGCGTCTTAGAACTGAGGGTTTCATCTGCCCCGGCCCGAGTGCCAGCTGCTGTGTTCATCGGCACGTGGTTCACAGGTAGAGATGTTCCCGCTTGAGGAGGGTTAGTTTGTTGGCCGGTTGTATGGCAGTTGCTGAGGAGGCCCTGATGGTGGCCCAGGCCCCCTCCCGGATGGCTGATTCTTTCTGTGTGCCTTACTGCTAGTCAACTTGCTGTTCCCATTTTCCAGATGGTGAGACAGGCTTTGAAAAAGGGTTGAGGGCCCCCTGGTTTGCAGCTGAGGGCTGAGACCCCCATTCTGCAAGCTCTGGAGCCAGTGATTCCAGTAGTTTAGAGGAAACAGGCAGCTGTGGCTAGTGGGACCCGGATGTCCCTTGCCATGTGCTCTTTTCTTGTTCCCTTAACAGCTACTGGTGCAGCAGGGCCTGAGGCGTGCATCCCCCGCAGGGGGTTAGCTCCCACCACTGCTGAGGTTTCTTTCTCTCTCTAGGCCCTGAGCCACTGGAGGGTCTTGCAGCTGGGAGACAGTTTTCATCAGTTTGCACAGGGTGATGGGGTCGGGGGCTGGTTCACGGAAGCCAGGACTGCCAGAGGGACCACCCACTGTGGTTCTGCTGCGGCAATGGGGTTCAGATGGTGAAGTGTTGAAAGTTTTGGCGGTCATTTGGGAAAAGAATCCCAGGCACAAAGGGCCACCTTACTTGTTTATTCTAACTGTAGGTAGGGAAACTGAGGCTCATCAGGAAAAGGAGGAAGCCACCCAGGTTATCCAGGAAGGAGGAAGCCCCCTCCTACTAAAATGGACCTCTACAGGCTTCTCACCCAGCACACCCGCCATCCTGCATCCCAGACTCTTCTCCTGAGTCCTAGTCCATCCCAGGCCCAGGATGCCTCCCACTTCTGTCCCATCATCCTGCAATCTTGCTTATCCAGCTCCCTGGAGAGATTCAGGGGTGCTTTGCATACTTCTGTTCTTATCTTTCCCTGAATGTTAGGGCACATTTCCTTCCATTGCACCCAGCTTCTGCTTGATACTTCTTCAGACAGGGAGCCAGCTACCACTTAAGGTCACTTGCCCCACCCTATTCCTGGCCTGGAGAAAGTTATTTCTTTAGCTGAACTGAACTCTGGTCCTGAGATCCCAGAAGAAAAACCAAGAAGCTCAAATCAGGCAAATGTTTTTCTCTCTCTAATGTCAAAGAAGATGATAGGTGGGCAGGAGTGAGGTATGGCCCAGGTTCCTTCCATCTTGTTGCTCTTTTGGTTCCCCAGGGATTGAGGCCATCTCCAGTGTTTCCTCTACTCATGAAGCAGACTAGAGAGGGCAGAAGTGCAGGGAAACAACTGTGGTGGAAGCTGCACGTCATCTGTCCTAGTTAGCTTTTCTATTACTGTGATAAACACCATGACCAAAAGCAACTTGGGGCCGGTGGGGGAAGTATTTATTTCATCCTAAAGGTTATAGTCCATCATTGAGTTAAAGCAGAAACACAGGCAGGAGCTTGAAGCAGAAACCACAGAGGAAGGCTGCTTACTGCCTTGTTCTCTGACTCATGCTTTGTTAGCTTTTTATACAGCACAGACCCACCTGCCCGAAGATGGTGGAGCCTACAGTGGGCTGGCCCTTCTGTATCAATCATTAAGACAATTCCTCACAGATAGGGCCACGGGCCAATCTGATCTGGCTAATCCCCCAACGGAGACTCCTTCAAATGACTCTAGGCTGTGTCAAGTTGATAACTGGCCCTAACTAGGACACCATCGCTCCCTTGGATTTAATTAACAAGATTTACCATGGAGCCCTGCTCAGCTACAAGAGAGGCTGGGAAACATCGTCCTTAACGTGGCAGCCACGTGCCCAGTGTAACAGGGACCGGGAGACAATGTGTGGACCTCCATGCTGCCCTGCCCCATCTCCTCTCTTCTAGGTCACCTGTCCCGGGTCCATCCTCATGGGTGTGTCTCCTTTTCAGAGCTGAAAGATTCCCAAGGGAAACAAGTCAGCTCCAAGATGAAGAGAGCATCTTTTCCCATCCAGCCCCTCTCCACCCCAACCTCAGGCACCATCCCTGCCCCTGATGGAGACCCCCAAACCTCCCAAGGCAGGACAAGCCAAGGGTGTGGCCAGCTGCCTCATGCCTCTGGCCTTGCTTCACTGACAACAGAGGCAACCCTCCTTTGGTCCCACTGTGCCCTGGTGGGGTAGGGGAGACCCACATTGCCTCTGAGAGCTGATGTCATCATCGGGCTGGGATCCTAGGGCAGGGTCCTTGAGGGTGCTGTGGCCAGGAAATGAGAGGACCTCAGATGTGCCATGTCAGTCTCAGCTGGGGTGGAGGACATGAATGGGGGCGGGGCAGAGTGACCAAGGCAGAGAATGCCTGGTCCAAGGTCTGCAGACTGAAGGGGACAGGCCCCCAGAAGTGGACAGGATGGATGCCCCAGCGTCTCTAGGACCAGGGACTGGTGTCTCACTTGGGCAGAGGGTATTGTGAGCCCACTGCATGTCTCAGCTGCTTGCCAAGCGAGGCCCCGCTCTGGCTGGCATTCTTTCTCCTCAGCCCTATTCTTCTCCTCTAGGCCACCATGCTAACACACTGAGTGTTTTCTTTTCCAGAATATCTGGGGCTGAACTTCTGAAAGATTTCCCTTGGCGGATGTTTTAAGATTCTGTAATTACATCATACACCCAAAGAACTATTTTAAGGCATGGTAGAGTTAGGGGTTGACAAGGGTTCTCTAGTGGGGAGGTGCCTAGGGAGGTACTCAAAGATGGGGTCACATCTCAGTGACGTGTGAGGAGGAGGCATGCTCCAGGTAATGGCTCACCTGAGCAAAGATGTGGTGGCGGGAATCCCGTGTGGGACCTGGGGCTTCGGATGACAAGAGAGGCAGCTTTGGGACAGGTGTGCCCAGCACCCAGTTGGGGTGCCCTGGGCTGGGACCCTGATGGAGTTCTGTGTGGGCAGTGCCTCTGGGGAAGGAGGCCTTGGGGGAGGCAGTGCTGACGCCTGGCTCTCCTGATCTCTCTCCAGCACTGGCAACCAAACAGACCTATGTCACCTACACCAACCACGCCATCTAACCGGGCTGAGGAGCCACGCCAGTGACGGAGTCACAACCTCCAAGGATGGTGCATCGGGCCAGGGCCACTCCTGCGGGCCCTGCTGATGTCCTGCCTGCCCCATGGGCATCCACGAATGTGGCTTGGTGCTGAGGACAGTAGAAACCCCCGGCCATCACTGCTGGGCAAGCCGTGGTGGGCAACCGGAGGAGGCTGCATGGCCGGGGCAGTTCCAGATTGTGCCACACAGGCCTTCCGTCTGGACCCATGTCGTGCCCAGCTCCAGCACCGGGGCCTGGTCTCCAGACCCGAGCCCTGGCGTTTTCTCCCTCCTGCCTCCGTCTGTCCTGTTGGTGACCCTGGTTGGTCCTTCCCGTCTTTGCGTTTCTCTTCCGTCTTTCGCTCTGCATGTGTTGTCTGTTTGGGCTCTCTGCTTCTGTGTTTTCCTTTCTGCCCCTGCCCCTCCTCTGCCATCTGCCCTGTCCCACGCCTTCTGCTGCCCTGAGTTGCCCCACCCCCGCCCCATGTCACTTCTCATGCATTTTTCTTTTCTGTCCCATCGACTTCATTTTCTTCCAAGTTTTGTTCCCTTTACTCCATCCACCAACTCCTTCATGTTACAAAAGAGAAAAAAAAAGGGGGGGGGGATCAAAACACAAAAAAGCCCAAACACAACTAATCTTGAGTGTGTTGCAAAGTGCTGCGTCCTCCTGGTGGCCTCTGTGTGTCCCTGTGGCCTGCAGCCTGCTCGCCCACCCTACCCGTCTGCCGTGTGTCCTGCCCGCCTGCCCGCCTTGCCCTTCCTGCCAACGACACGGAGTTCAGTGCCTGGGTGTTTGGTGATGGTCCCTGATGTGTAGCATGACTGTTTTTATACTGAGAACATTTCTAATAAAGATAAACACATGGTTTTGCACCTGGCCTGTGTGTCCACTGAGGGCCCCATGCTCAGCCACAACTGGTGGTCAGAGGCCGGAGGGCAGAACTTCAGAAGGCTGCTGGGGGAGGGACGTGGTATCCCAAGTAAAGTGAGCAGGACACTGCAGAATATTCCAGTATCTACTGGGGCTGGAGAGGTGGCTTGGTGGTTACACAGTGTAACATAAATCTTAAAAAGTCTTATTAATAAAAAAAACCTGGAGCCAGATATTGGGTAATTTCTGAAAGATCAGAGAGACAGAACAAGCCACAGCCAACCTCACCTCGCTAACACCTCGGCTGATCTTGTTTCTTCAGACTGAAAGCCTCTGAGTCCTCACCTGAGTGGATCTCAACTGAACTGCTGCTAAAAAGCCTAAAAGCTTAAAAGCCTCTAGTTCCTGGTCCTCAAGCCTTTTATACCTTTCTGCTTCCTGCCATCACTTCCTGGGATTAAAGGCGTGTGTCCTTCCCAAGCAAGACATGAGATCTCAAGTGCTGGGATTAAAGGTGTGTGCCACCATGTCTGGCTCTGTTTCCAATGTGGCCCTGAACTCACAGAGATCTAGATGGATCTCTGCCTCCAAATGCTAGGATTAAGGGTGTGTGCCACCACTGTCTGGCCTCTGTGTCTAATCTAGTGGCTGTTGTTCTCTGATCCCCAGGTAAGTTTTATTAGGGTGCACAATATGTTGGAGGACACACTATATCACCACAATACGGCATCTTGTAGAAGACCCACGTTTGGTGTCAGCATCAACATCAGACATTGTTCCATGCTCCAGTGGATCTGCTGCCCTCTTCTGGAGTTCTTGGGTATCTGCACTCACCCATGCACATATCTGCATGCATACACATACAATTGAAAATAAGGAATCGTTAAAGAAAGAAATAAGTATTTCATCTATCCTACCGTTAACATTTCTCCTGGCCCCTGCCCCCTCCAGACAAGGGCATCCCTTACAGAAATTGGTTCAGGGCACCAGGGTCCCCAGATCCAGCCTTACTGTCCTATCTCCAGGTGCTAAGGTACTCCGGACCCATGGGTTGGCACATGGTACTTCAGGAGTGTGACTCTCCGCGGGTCTGTGCGTCTGTCTGTTCTGGATGTATCCGGCTCCTCTGTGCACACATCTTTGTTGTGTGTGGAGGTCTGGTGTAGACGGCTGACCTAGATTAGTGGCAAGTGTGAGCAGCAGGTGCGCAGGTGTGCGTGGTTGGCAGCTGGCTCCCTTGACAGGTCGGGAGGTGGGGGGGGGGCATGGCTTAGATGCTGGGCTCTGCCGGGAGACAGTCACAGAGCTGGTGACATAAGGAGGCCACAGCTGGCAGTGGGACCCGGCACTTGGCACTGCCCCTCCCCCTGACTCTCCCACCCTATAGCTGGATGACAGGGCTCTGGAGCACCAAAGGGACCTGGGGGCCCTGGGCAGGGAGGCATCAGGGATCAAGTGAGCTATGCAGACGAGATCATTGTGCGATGCACAGCTGAGGTCCCTGACCCCATGAGCCAGCCCTTACTCTGGGGCCAGCTGTTCAGCCTCTGCCTCCCGTTACCATGCCTGCTCATGGCCCCCTGCAGCTGCTAGTGACGGGGAGGAACAAGAACAGCTGTCTCCCTCTGTCTGCGAGGTCAGTCCCAAGACCTCTCAGATTAGGTTCCATCAAGCACTGTGCTAGCACCAGGCTCAGTCAGGCAAACGCAGAATACCGGATCACAGGTGATTTCTGGAAGCTTCCAGGTAAGTAGGTGTACGGGGGAAGGATTGAATTCGAAGGGAAAAGGCATCTTCTGGGGGATTCCCACAGCACCCCAGCCTGGGCACCTTGCCCCGCCGGCTCTGAGGCTCAAGGCTACGCGTGTAGAAGGCCTGGCCCAGAGCTACAGTGGCAGCTTGGCCCATTCCTATGTGTGGTAATCTTGCCATTGTTCTATGATGGAATGGGCACTCAATGGGGGCCATACCTCTCTGTTCCTCTCACAGTCAGGAGAGGATGGTGGGAGCAGCCAAGGTCAGTCCTCAGTCTCCCCTCTCACCCCCACCCCGTGGGCAGGCACAGACTGAGGAATCCCTCCTGCCAGGGAGTCACCCTCAGGAAGCCAGACTAAACTCTGAAATGCTGATTCCTGAGGAACGATGATGGCCACTTAGTGTTTAGTAGGGAAGCCTTGGGCTGGGTGCATCTGAGCCCCTGAACCCAGAGTGTGGGCACAGGAAACAGGGCCCATGATCCTGAGACCGGAAGGATGACCTGCAAATCAGGGGCCCAGCAGTGGGGAACAGATGAGTGTCCTGTACTCTCCGCCTGGAAGACAGTCAGGAAGCGATGGAAACGCTGGTACGGCCTGCTCCGGAAGGTGAGGGGAAGCTCTTCCTGGGCCAGCTGGCAGCTCCCACCCTAAATTCTAAATTAAATTTTATTATCATTTCTTGTTGTACGGGAGATGTTATCACAGGCCTCTTGCACTCTAGGCACACACTCTACCCCTAAGCACCCCAGCAGCCTCCTCTCATTTTTATTTTCTGTTCTGAAACAGCTTTTTCTACACTGACTCTACCTTTAACTTCCAGTTCTGTTGTGCCAGCCTCTGGGGTATCTGGGATAACAGGTCTGCACCCCATCCCACCCCCGAGCCACATGGACAGGTCTGCACCCCATCCCACCCCCAAACCATGTGGACAGGTCTGCACCCCATCCCACCCGAGCCACATGGACAGGTCTGCACCCCATCCCACCCGAGCCACGTGGATAGGTCTGCACCACCACCACCCCAGCCACATGGACAGGTCTGCACCCCATGCCACTCCCTGCTGCATGGACAGGTCTGCACCCCACACCACCCCCTGAGCCACGTGGATAGGTCTGCACCCCTCCCCCGACCCCGGCCACATGGAAAGGTCTGCACCCCATGTCACTCCCTGCTGCATGGACAGGTCTGCACCCCACGCCACCCCCTGAGCCACGTGGAGAGGTATGCACCCTACGCCATCCCCTGAGCCTTGTGGACAGGTGCTGCAGATGCCTAGGATTTTATATTTCAGTAAGACAGGCATTGGAAGACAGGAAGATGGAATCCCCATAGGGCTTGGAACATTCCCCTGGAGTCTCAGTCTTAAGGAGGTTAAGTGGGGGACCATACCCCCAGTACCCTCTCTATCCTTGCTCACACAGCACAGCCAAGACATTTTACAGGCCGCAGATCTGCACCAGCCTGGGGAAGCTGCCCAGGGAGGGCTGAGGTACTGTGGGTCCATCGTGGACCAGGCCTTGGGGTTGGTGAAGCCAGGGGACCAGAGGCGCCCATCTACAAGCTTGCCTATGGTTCACAGATAAGACAGCTGCTCCTGCCTGGGCCAGGGCCAAGAGCTGCCAGGTGAGATGGACAGACACTGGCACCTTCTCATTCCTCTTGGACCCAGTGAGACCAGCTGTGGCATGCCGAGCTGAATCCTGGGTCCTTCCAGCTCCAAGGCTGGTTCTGCTAAATGCCTAAAGTCTGTCCTCCTAGCAACTTCTTGGCCCCTGGAATTGGAGGCCGAGAAGGCCTGGGGTCCAGAGCTAGGACAGAGGGGGACACCAGTTAGCACTGTGCTAGCTGTCCCTGGACCACCTCTGCCCTCAATCCCACCAAGGGAGCCCCAAGGAGGCCCTCACCCTGAAGGGACCTGGAGGAAGGGCCTGAGCACCTTCGTTACAGTCTCATGAGGGTCCCACACTGTTCCCAGTCTCAGGGTCCAGATGTCCATTGAGCATCCAGGGTAGACTGAGGTGCTTCTCCGGCTTCCCTCAGCTTCCCTGTACTGCCCTGGCCATCCCCCGAGCCTCAGCCCCGGCCCTCCGAGCATCATCGGGCCTGTTCCCCAGACAGCTCTGTGTGCTGAGAAGCACACGCGCCAGGATCTCACTTCAGTTGGCAAAAGTAGCAATTAACATCTAATGAGCCTTCTTGCTTTATTTTTAGGTAACCTCTGAGGCCCTGCCCGTGGAATTCAGCCCGCCATTGCTGGCACATAATTAAAGCATGTCACCATAATTTGCCTTTTTTTTTTCTTACAAAGCCCATAATTATGTTTTTATTGCAAGTGAAGGGGGGAAGGAGGGAAAGGGAAACAAAGCCAAGCGGGGCCGGGGCAGGGACCGGGGCTTGGCTTCCTAAGCGAGGCAGGCGCCCCTGCCTTCTGGGTGCCACTGCCCCCAGAACACCCCGGACTTCCCTGGGAACTCCCTGCCCCAGCCCTGCCCGATGGCTTCCCTCAGCCGCTTCTTCCCCCTTTCCTCACAGGCTTGCTTCCGATTTTTCCAGCCCACCCAGGGGAGAGCAGAAATGGCTGTGTCCGAACTGATGATTCTTGAGTTGGGAGTGGGCGCGTGGGAGTTCCTGCCACGTTTCTTCCACAGATGTTGGAGATTTTCCATAATAAAAAGTTAAATAAATCTCTGCTCCCAGGAAGGAGTCTACTGGCTGCTCTGGGGGCCGTTGTCTCTCTATGTGGTGAGGGGCGGTCTTTTTCCATCATTAACTAGTGCTGCTGAGTTGGGGTGGGTGGCTCCTCCTGATGGGACTGCTCCCACCCTCAAACAACCTTTCAGATGCTGCCTTTGGCGTGCCCCCCCCCCGAAGCCCGTTCACCCAAAGCACACCGATCATTTGACAGCTATGGAGTCCAGCATGGCGCCATCAGCCCTGAGGGCGGGGGACAGGAAACAGGTATGTTTTAGGGCATTCCAGGGACATTCCTTCTTTCTAAGGGTTCCTATGGGATGAGATGGGGAGCTGGGAAAAGCATGGAACAGCAGCACACTGCCCAGTCCCCTCCCGGGATGACAGACACCTTGCCTGTCAGGAGACCTGGATTCCGGCTGAGGCTCTGTCAGGGACTTTGCTGTGTGTCCCTGAACAAGTTGCTATCCCTTTCTGGGCTGGTTTCTTCACCCTTAAGACCAAAGTGAGTTCTGAGTGCAGAGCAGAGTAAGCAAATAGAATTCCTGCTCCGG